TCCACCATGTCTGAAGAACCAAGAAAAGTAAAAAATTGTGAAACAGGAAAGAGGAGGAGAGGTGGATTATGGGAAAAATATAAACTAACCCAGAACATTATTTTTTCCTTAGGTATGATAAAAGTGTGTTGCAGATGAATTGCTCACATTGGCTATGTTCAAAAATCAGGAGTACAATCTAAAAGTAAGAATGAAGAGTTATTTTCAGTAAAGCTAATTCACACGGAGGGATGAATGCATTAAATAAATTACCCAAAGAGGTGGAATTTGGGGTCAAGGAGCTGTTTTCCCAATCAACTGTCAGCTGTTTGAGTTGGATGAATATGTGAATGGAAATACAGTCCGGAGGGTAAAGCAAAGGACTAGGACTTGGGGACTTTGGTTCAACTTCAGTCCCTGGGACAGGCTTCCTGTGTTGTCTTTGACAAGTCACTCAACCTCTTTGTGCCTCAGGTTTGTTATTTATACATCGGGGGTAATAAAATTGTTCTACTCCACCTGTGTACTAAACTGAATTAATTAAAGTTTGTAAATAGCCTTGAACTCTTCAAATAGAATCCACCGCAGAAATTATTCATAACACAAAGATCAAGAATATTATTGGGCTTTCATGAACAGAGATTGTCTCTGAATCACAGCTATTCAAGAAACAAGTACCGAATATATGGAAAGGAAGATGATTTAAACTTAAGTGTAAAACTGCATTCCTCCTTCCCTTCTCTTCTGGGGCTGAGTAAGCTATTTAAGTGAACTGCAGTTCTTCACCTTTTGTCTTCTCTGCTGAGACTAGTTGCAGTGTTGCAGTGAATGAGATAGATGTAACCAGTGCCCTAGGGCTGAGCTGCCCCATTTCCACTGTCTGTGATGCTGCTGTTCAAGGACCTGCCCAATTAAAATATATTTTTTTTAAATTAAGGAAACTTTTCTCCCAAGTTTCTCTTGTCCTTCCTTACATTGCCTAGCAGGCATTATCATTTCCAGATATCTGTTCTGCTGCAGTTAAGGGCATTGCTTACTTCTGATTCCTCTGGCCTTCTTGTCAACCTGAAATGGCCATAAAAGTAATATGGAGGCTAGTGCTGAAATGAAATGGTCACACTGTAAGTCAGTACAACACAACTCCAAAGGAAGCGTAACCCATTTTGCAACTTTATTTTCCCAGTTCAAGTTACTGATGGTAGCAGATTACAATATGGAGGGAAATCTAGACTGCAATGCAATTCCAGTATGGGACAAATAAATGCCTTCATAGGGGCTAGTACTTTCACAAGTGGACTAAGTCTAGAACAGTGATACTGAGACTCGTTCATGTGTCTCCTGCAGCTCTTTGCAGCACATGATATTAAAATACTGTGTGATTTAATTATTAACCAATCTAAGTTATTAACCAATCAAGATGCTTTTTCTATGTGATTAACCAATTGAAGCTGATAAAATAATAGCTGATTAGTCATTTTTCTGTGAGAATATATATAATAAATATAAATATAAACTAAATATTTCCCCTGTCATACTGTTTAAATATGAATATATAGTACTATTGTAAGTGAAACAATTAATTCATACTACTGTGGCTCTTTTAGGTAATGTTAATTGCTAATTTGGTTCCTGAACCACTGAGGTCTGAGTATCACTGGTTTAGAGGATCTTGCACTTATGCATTATATTATCAAACATTGGCATTTATCATTGATAGGAACCATACCAAGTCAGCACCTTGAATACTTCAGAGGGATTTTTTCATAATTGATTTAAGGCAGTGCTGAGTGCTTTTGAAAATCCCACTGTTAGCTTATAACTTGGGACAGTGATGCCCATATACCAGGGGTGACCAAACTTGCTGACCCTCTGAGCCGCATACGATAATCTTCATAACCTGGGCATGTCTGCCGGGCCTTGGGGCTCCAGCCCTGCGAGGCTGCCTGCCGGGCCTTGGGGCTGCCCCACAAGGCTGAAGCCCCAAGCCCCACCATCCCACTGCAGGGCAGAAGCCCTGTGTCCCGTCCCCCCACCAGTCTGGTAGGCAGAGAATGGGGGACATGGTGGGCTCCGCGAGCCGCACTTTAACTGTAAAAGAGCCACATGTGACCTGCGAGCCGCAGTTTGACCACCCCTGCCATATACAGAATATTGTTTGACTACTTTTGTACCCTCCCAGGGCTGTTGAAAAATATTTCCTCTGAACTCAGACCATTGCCTTTGAATGTATTGTAGTCCATATAGCAATCTTAAATTCCTATTAGACTGTGCCTCCATGTTGCTTAAAGAAATCCTAGCCATCCAGTGGACCAAATTCGGTGATGAATCCTGGTCACGTGCAATCTGAGGCACGTTGCTCATACGCTAAGATGAAGCCTGCATTTAGATGTTTCTGACTCCCTTAAAAGAGAGTGGGTTCTTAAATAAGAGATGGGAAAGGTGTGACTTTGGATGCACACGTGGTGACATGTATAGAGGCAAATCAAAGGGCTTCAAATTCCCCCAAGCATTTAGAATAAGAAAGGAGTGTGCAGTGAAATTATTTCCACAGCTGATCTTAAATGTGATAAACAAGGCTGAACCAGTGCAAGTCAAACCAGACTTTACCTCCAAGGATGTTCTTTATCTAAGATCTTTCCAGTGACTAATCTTTCCAATATCTTTAAAGATTGGAGAAAGGAAGAAGGAAAAGCTCCATACCAGACTGACATGCTGCTAGAGCTGCAGCAGCTGTCGTGCCTTTAGGTCACATTATTGGTTTGTATTGCTTGTCTGGACAGCAGTACAGTAGCTGATTATGTTGCTCTTTTTGCCCTGGGCTCCAAGCATTGAATCCTTCAGAGCTAAAAACTCTTTATTCTTTGAATGAGCACATTATAGATTGGGCCCATGTATCTAGGAAGTTTTTCCTCTCTAACACTGGACTGTTTACCTTTGTGAGTTAAGGAAATCAATTACCACTATTTCACTCTTGTGCTGTTTTCCCTGAAAACAGTTTGGCAGGTGGGAGTTAGCGTCAGAACCTTTGTCTGTTCATTTATATGCTCATCAATTCATACCGAAAGAGTGACAGCAAAACCTTAATGACAACCTCTGCAGTACTAAGGTAGAATAATGTTACTCATGTGGAATGTGTGACAGCCAGGTGTGCCACTTTCTTGATACAAGAGGGCATGAAGTTGGAGATAAAGTTTTGCATTAGAGTGCAGCCTAGGTGAAGGAGTGGTATGTATTGCTTTTTGGTAACGGTTGGAAGTAGAAGTGAATGTTTTGTAAAATGTAAGAGTATGTTATTGACACCATTGTAGATGATTTGAATGCGGCAGTAAATCCTGAAGACATCCCTTAACTTCTTCCTTCCATACTTTTATGGTTTTCGTTGAGTGGAGTGTGCCTTGTTACCTTTGTTTGTGTTATTGTAGATGGATGAGATTGCCAAAAAGCCTAAGGGCAATTTTTTGAAAATTTTAATGGGACTTTTGTGACTAAATCACCTGGGCTTCTTTGAAAAATCCACCATATATGGCCAGCATTTTGAAAAATGAATGCTCTTAAATCCATATTGAGATCCCTAAATAAATGGCCTGATTTTCAAATGTATTAGGCAACCAGCAACTCCTGTTGATATTAGTGAGAATTGCTGAGAGCGCAGCACTTTTGAAAAATCAGGCCACTTCTTCAGGCACATAAGTATGGATTTATAGGCCTAATTTTAGGCATGAATTTTTAAAAATCTTGGCTATATACATACCTATATATAGACACATATTGCTGAACATGGGGATTGTGAAAGCACCACCTAGAGCCAGGGAATGCAGGTAGGTGTCATGGAAGTTTCTTCCACAGAGCTCTCTCTCAATCTTGAACTGCACTACCCCTCCTAGAGTTACTACTGGCCCTCTTCTGAGGAATCATATTGAATTTTGTGGTGGTTTTGTCAGAGGGAGAAACATCCTCTCTGAACTAATTTGAGGCTTTAGATACAATTTTTGCTGTACACTAAGATTATCCTTAATCTTGGTGGATGAACTGTGAAAAGAGGTTTGTAGCAAATGAACAAAATTCTGCAGTCTGGCAAAAAGATTTAGAAACATAATTCAATTGTGCAAACTATTAAATTGTAATACCAATAAATGAACACACTGTGGACCAGTTCAGTATCATTCAGATTATTTATTTTCTTAATGTGGACAACCTTTAACTTTGATGGTATAATTAACTTTTTTTTTTTTTAATTTCTTAGAGCCCTTGGCTGAGAATTCTCACACTAATCTTGGTACATGTGGGGAACAAAGGAAGGGAGGAGAATTTCCATAGTGTGTGTGAATGTGCTTTACAATTCTTGAATGTATATTTACACATTGACTTTACACTGAAGTCTGTAAGAAGTCTTTTCTATGGAGCGGGGAGGGAAAGAATCAAATGACCAGAGATTTAGGCCCATTTGATCCATGTGAGATTTTCCAGTATAGTCCCACAGAGCTCGTCTGACATTCAAATATGCCATAATTTCACTGAAACAGTACTATATCCAGTAGTATTTCTGTACGAGATGAAACCTGGAACTGAGGAATGCATCTCTTCTGTTTCTTTAATTTCACTAAACTGCAAATAATTTAAATTATTAAATTCAAATATCAAGACATTTAGTTATTGTTCATATCGCTCATCTGTTAACCTTCTAATAATACATCACATTTTTTAAATAAAAAACAACAAAAAAGACTTTAGAGGCTATATAATACACAGTCTCATTGGCTCCAGCTCCCTGGGAAGGCTGTTACAATATCACTGTATTTCCCAGAATTTCTTTGGAGCAATGGAGCAGAATTGTCCATTGGCAACTTTCACACTCAGCAATCTGGACACTAAAACGATAGTTTAAAAAATTACCTTGTGATTTTTTAAATTTTCTTGTAGGTGTCTGTGTTAAAAAAAAGAACACCGCTTTTTTCGACTTTCAGGGTTTTTTTTTTTTTTTTTTTTTTTTTTTTGAAATAATATAATATTTTGAAAAAAAAGATGTAAAGAAGACTCTCGATGTATAAAATTCCTCACCAGTAGAAGAAACACTGACCTTGATTTGGCCTAGTTTTAATTAGTTATTTCATTCATGTACTTTTGCTGCATATTTTGAAGCTTTGAAGAAAGGGCTAAAGGTCAGGCTAGAAATCATAGAACAGTTCTGTACCAACAATTCCTTTAACAGGAAGGATGTCCATGACACATAATGAAGCAGAGCAGAAGTGTGTAAACAGTATATGCTGCGAGTTGTGTGCATCTCTATACATGATGTGTGTGTATATACTCTATGTGTGTGTGTGTGTGCCAGTATGGTGGATACGTGTTCCTTCTGTACAGCTGTAAGGAAGGCTTTACTGAAATTCTCCTGTTCTGTTGCCTTTAGATTGGAACTAGCTTTTCTCCTAGAAAAAAAAACTGCAAGGCAGGCCCATCTCCCATTCAACAGCTCTGCATCTTCCTCGCAGTAAAATGGTTCTTAGGACAGTTGGATGAAATATTATTTCTTACATAGACTATGGTAGCTCTGCCATTTGAGGAAAATGAAATGAAACAAACAGAATGAGCCAGCGGTGATTGTGGTGATAACATTTCCACACAGTTACACTTCAACTTTTTTTTTGAGCCTTTGCACCCTGCAAAACATGTATTTTTGAAAAAAATGTTTGCGGCGAGGATAAAAGGGATGTGGGGGGGCTGTGAACATAATTCAGCTTTCCCCCTTCCTCTCCTTGGGCTTCGAAGTACTGCCCCATTGTTTCCACCACAAATGGAGGTGGTAAGCCCCTTTTGTGTCACCTCAGGAAAACAGATTGAGGCCCATGGATTTTTAGCAGAGGCCAATATATTTGAGATTGTTCTGAATGATGACATCTGTCACCGCATCAAAGACAAATTGGATATTACTGGTATCAGTGGCACAGGTGAAGTGCGAGTAAATCTCCTTGGTCTCCTTGTTGCGATTCAAGTCCTCAAATTGGCGTTGGATGTAGACTGCTGCCTCCTCGTAAGTGTTTTGGCCCTTGTACTCAGGAAAGCAGACGGTTAGCGGGATGCGCCGGATTTTTTCTGCCAGAAGATCTTTCTTATTCAGAAAGAGGATGAGGGAAGTGTTGATAAACCAGTTGTTGTTGCAAATGGAGTCAAAGAGACGCAGACTCTCTGCCATTCGACTCTGCAAGGAAGGAAACAACGTCAGCAACAGTATGTGAACACAACTATATAAAATACATAGAAATACATAATCACAGCTGTTAGTGAACAAACTCCCTTTTGTTTAGAATGTTTGTATCTGTTTCTCATTCCAGCTCCCTGTTTGACTGTACATCTTACCTTGGGATGAATTTTCAGGAACCTTAATTCACTGAAGTTGACATATTGCAGCTCACTATTGATTACAGCTTCATTTAGTTTGATTTAATTTTTTTTAATAATGGGTAACTGAGAGGCAAAGTCAGACTGAAGTTTTTAAGAACAGCTGCTATAGTTCTTCACTGTTTTCCACAATCAAGCTAGCATTACAAACACATTTTTTGGGCTGCAATAATCAACAAGCACATAATTTTACAAAAATAGAAGAGTAGGCTTATGGCCAGAATAGAATAATAGAATCATAGAATATATCAGGGTTGGAAAGGATCTCAGGAGATCATCTAGTCCAACCCCCTGCTCAAAGCAGGACCAATCCCCAACAAAATCACCCCAGCCAGGACTTTGTCAAGCTGGGCCTTAAAAACCTCTAAGGAAGGAGATTCTTCCACCACTTCCCTAGGTAACCCATTCCAGTGCTTCACCACCCTCCTAGTGAAAAAGTTTTTCCTAATATCCAACCTAAACCTCCCCAACTGCAACTTGAGACCATTACTCCTTGTTCTGTCATCTGCTACCACTGAAAACAGCCTAGCTCTATCCTCTTTGGAACCCCCTTTGAGGTAGTTGAAAGCAGTTATCAAATCCCCCTTCATTCTTCTCTTCTGCAGACTAAATAATCCCAGTTCCCTCAGCCTCTCCTCATAAATCATGTGCTCCAGCCCCCTAATCATTTTTGTTGAGCAGTGGAATTCACACCTGTCTGAGTTAGCAGCCAAAGAAAGAATAGCTTATTGTTGTAAAGATCAATGATATGAATCCAAAGAAATTCAGATCCTGTTTCTAGATATATTTGAATAAAAAATGTTGAGATGGCTCAAAGAATACCACACCACCATTCCACCTAACCTCTTTCCCCTTCCCCCCTGGTCCATTCCTCCCTTCCTCTTCCTATTTATGTATGTCTTCACCTGTTTTATTACAGGTATCCCCAACCTAACATGTTATGTCTATGTAGTATTGTCTGCTCTTGAAGCTTTGACAAGTTGTATATACAAATTATGCAATTGTACTTCATTTTTGAATTGATCCTGTTTGCTCCTATATTTCCTTTCCCCTTTAATAATAGTAATTTTGGAAGGGTATATATAAAAAAGTATATTTTCCTCCAGAGGGCCAAATCCTAGTCTCAGACAGAAGGGGCAACTCAAAATGAAGACAGAATTTGGCTAAAAGGGTTTAGTAGACACCTCTGATCTTCCACTTGCCACTCTAAATTAATAAGTACCATTGACAACACATTGGAGTGACTGACAGGAACTGTTTATTTTGGAAATACCAATTTAGTCATCATCATCAGCGATCCCTCAATTCAAGGATGATCTCTACAACAGATTTACTATGTGTCCTGAGATGACAGATCCACCCGCAGTAGGTATAGACATTTCCTGCCAGGCCAGATGCCTGCTGGGAAAAAGTTGTTTCTTTTTCCTTTCTTTTCTCAATCTTTTCAACTTTGCGGGCAAGGTACTTTTTCTCAAAGCGAGCCACTGCCTGATGGAGGATGTGGCGCATTGGGGTCAGTTGATGGCTTGCTCCTCCCAGCTTATGATGTCCATCCACATCAGTTTTCTTGAGATATGTTTTCAGTGTGTCTTTGTAGCGTTTCCTCTGACCACCACAGGATCTCTGAGCATGGGTGAGCTGAGACTAGAGGACTTGTTTTGGGAGGCAAAAGTCTGGCATCCGCACACAATGTCCAGCCCAGCGGAGTTGGTGAATGAGGATCATTGCTTCAATGCTGATGACATTGACTTCAGTGAGGAGGCTGGCGTTAGTGCAGCGATCTTTCCACTTGATGCGAAGGATCTTCCGGAGGCATCAGTGGCGCTGGGACACTTTTACTAGTGGAGTTGCTGAAAGCCAGCCCCCTTACCCCTGTCCATCCACACACACCCCAAGCTGGGGCCAGGAGCAGGACTATGTCTATAGGAGGGGGGACCCGGATGGGGTAAGGGGGCCAAGGTTGGGGGTGGGTGCAGGGCCAGCAGCCGGGACCCCACATGTGGGGTCAGAAGCAGAGCCCTGCGTGCGGGGCCTAGAGTGGAGCCCCGGGCGTGGGGTGGCAGCCGGGAGTAGAGCCCCACACACAGGGCTGGGACCCCATGGGCGGGACCAGGAGCAGAGCCCCAGGTGTGGGGTGGCAGCCAGAACCCTGCGTGCGGGGCCAGGAGCAGAGCCCCAGGTGTGGGGCGGAAGCCGGGATCCTGCATGCAGGGCCGGGGGGGAGCCCCGGGTGCGATGCCTGCAGCTGGGACCCCGGTGTTGGGGGCCAGAAGCAGAGCCCCAGGCCTGGGGCTGGGACCTACATGTGGGCCTGGGAGCAGAACCCTGTGTAAAATCTGGGGGTGCTGCAGCACCCCCCTCACCCCTAGTTCCTGCACCTATGGGAGGCATCATTGGTGGTACCTCTCCAGACTCTTGAAGTGCTGTCAATAGGTCACCCAGGTTTTGCATCCATAAAGGAGTGTAGGAATAACAATTGTGTTATAGACCTGGATCTTGATGTCCTGCCATAGGTCATGGTCTGTGAAAACGCGTCAGAGCAATTTTGCAAAGGAAGCACTTGCGCAGTAGATCCTGTGCTGGATCTCACGGTCAATTTTTGCATTTTGAGAAAGTTGGCTACCGAGGTAGCAAAAGTGCTCGACTGTCACCAAAGTCTGTCCCTTGATGGTGATTTGTGGTGTGTCATGTGCAAGGCATGAAGCAGGCTGACAGAGCACTTTAGTGTTCTAAATATTGAGTGAGAGTCCTAGGCTTCGGTAAGCTCATGCAAAAAAATTCAGTGTAGACTGAAGGTCATTCTCAGTGTGTGCAAGGATAGCATAGTCATCAGCATACTGAAGATCAGTAATGGACACCCTGAGGACTTTAGACTTCGAGTGGAGATGTCGAAGATTAAAAAGCCATCCATCCATTCTGTATTGAATGTCAACTCCACTGGGGAGGTGATCTTTAACGAGGACCAAAATGACTGCTAAATAGATGGAGAACAGGGTTGGGGCAATAACGCATCCTTGCTTAACCCCAGTTTTGATGATGAAAGGGTCAGTCTCAAGGCCATGACAGAGAACAGTGGCATTCATCTGATCATGGAGAAGCCTTAGGACCTTAATAAACTTGTAGACTTCAGCTGGTATGCCATCTGGTCCTGCTGCCTTGTTGTTCTTGGTTTGCATAATGGCTTGTGTTACTGCTTTGAGGGTGGGGAGGTCAGCAAGAGATTCTCTTTCATGTCGTTGAGGTATAGATTCAATAGTGGCATCAGAGACAGTTGACTCACGATTCAGGGGTAACTCAATTTGCTCCTTCCATCTGACTTTGATGGCTTTGCTGTCCTTAAAATATGTCGACCCGTCTTGGGCTCAGAGTGGTGTGGGACCATGGGAGCATGGACCGTAAAGGGTCTGAACTGCCTGAAAAAAGCTCCTCATGTCATGTTTATCAGTGTAAAGCTCAATCTCCTTGGCCTTTTCTCACTACCATTTATTTTTGATGTCATGGATTTTCCTTTGGGCTTCAGCCTTGAGTTGCTTGTATGACTCTTTATTCTGCTGGTGTAATATGTCGTTTTGCCATAGCAATGAGCTTTTCTTTTCTGGTCGAGCAGGCCCTGAATCTCAGCATCATTCTCATCAAACCAATCTTGGTGATGGCGGGTGACATAGCCGATGAACTCAGCACATGCCAAGATAATGGCAGTCTTTAATCCTTTCCAGAAATTTTCATTATCATCATCAACTGTAGGCATAGCAGCAAACCTCTCTTGGAGATACTGCTGAAGTTTCTCCCAAGTCACTATATCTTCAAGGGACTGGATGTTGAATTTCTTTTATACTGATTTTGCCTGGTTGCAATGCCTCGAGGCAATCTGGAAATTCATGATAGATCTAACAAGGCAATGGTCTTTCCAACAGTAACTGATTCCATGCATGGCCCTCTGATGCGGACATCCTTCCGATCTCAGGCTCTAACAATAACATTGTCAAGAAGGTGCAAATGCCTGGAGTGAGGGTGGCTCCAGGTGGTCTTATACTTCTCACTTTGTCTAAAGAGGGTGTTCGTGATGACCAGGCCATGTTCTACATATATGCTCAGGAGGAGGATGCCACTGAAGTTGGCCTTTCCTACTACTCCTTTCCAATAGAGCCATTCCAGAGATCTGACTCACGCCTGACTCTAGCGTTAAAAACTCCAAGGAGCATGATCTTGTCCTCCTTGGGAATGTTGGTCAAGACTCTGTCAAGATCTGTATAGAATTGTTCCTTGATATCTTCAATATGCACTGATGACAGCAGTAGACTGGTTATTGCTGAGCTTAAGATGAAGAATCATAAGACATTCATTGATTCCTACAGGAAATTCTGTAAGCTGACTGACAAACTTATTCCTAATTGCAAAACTGACACCATAAATGCGCCTGGCCCTCTGCAGATTTCCCTTTCCAGAAAAAGGTGTAGCCTTCACCTTCTTCTCTCAGTTAACCTTCATCTGGGCACCTTGTCTCACTAAGGACAGCGACGTCGATGTTATATCTTGCAAGCTCCCTGGCAACGATAGCAGTTCTTCTTTCCAGTCATACATTATATTTGTTATACATCAGGGTGCGAACATTGCATCTAGCAAAAGTCACTGTGTTTTTATAGCTTTGACTGCAGGAAGAGTGATCCCACTGGATGCAGTAATCCAGCGAGGAGTGGGTGAAACAGCCTAGGTTTAGGGCACCTTTTCTAGCCCTCTCCCCATGCGGGGTGAGCAGAGGGGATCCTAAAGAGGACTGCTCAGTTGTAATAGTAGCTGCCA